CCCCCGCCGGGGCCCCGGGTCCGGGGGTCGACAACCCTGGATAGCACCACCAGAAATACATCCCCTTACATAGGTAGAAAACTTATTTTGAAATATCCCTCGTCCTTCTGCACGTTCGAAATTCGAAGGGGAAAGAAGAGCAGCATGTCGAGATCTACTGTTAGATAATCTATGGCTGTCCCTACTGAGGACGTGGAGAAAACTACCTCTTCCAAACAAATCCTCACCCACACGTTTTGAGGAGATCTTGAGACAACCACTTTTCGGGAATAGATGGATAACGGATGTTAATGGTTGTGTGTATAATAGTTATACTCCTCCATGGTTATAGTAGGTGAAAAAAGGGGTAATAGGTGTCAAAGACATTTGGGATCAGAAGAAAAAATGATGGAAGACAGCAGATCAACTTAGGAAAACAATTACTTACGTACACAAATTGGACCAGAATTTGGACCGAATCATTAGCTCTATGCCCCTGGCATGGGTCAGAAAATTAAGAAGAGGGATAAGATTTCAAGAAGGAGACTTTGTGATGATTACACACGACCCATAAAATTGGCGGGTTGGGCAAATAATGAGTATATTAAATGAAGGAGCATTAGTGACCTTGTTCAAAATAACAGCAAAGCATGTAATCCGAGCTTCATCTACTAAGCAAGTTGAATTTTTTCCCTTTAAGGATATGTTTAGGATTAGAGTAATCTTTATGTCAGCAACCACATGATGGAGAGTCTTTTACCCTCAATGCCCAATTCCTGACCTTCCCATAGACCCAGAAGAATGGAAATGGCAAACAACGAAAAGGACTAAACCCCGTACTCTACAAACTCTAACGGTGAAGGCAATATATCGGTTGATGAGACCAAGAGTGGATGTGTCGTCCGTAATAAGAAAACGATGGACAAGACATCTCAACATTGATGCACAAAGTATAAAGAACTTCAAACTCTTTGATAAACTTAAAAAACAACCAGCTAAATTTTTCTCCTTACAATGACAAATTCTCCATCGTTGCTTACCAACCAATAATTGGCTCATAGATCACACCAATCTGGAGAAACATGGGTTGGCGCTTTCATGGTGTAAAGCGTGTCTTACTGTCTTCCCACAAAAGAAGATCAGAAAAACAATTGAGCATGTGTTTGTTCAATGCCAAGGAACGATTCTAATATGGAGAAGGTGGGACAGTGTGTTGAGGAGGTTGATGGGCATTGACTGGCCATGGGATTGGAAAACCATTCTCCTGGGCCAGTGGGTACCACTAGAAACACAATCATCAGAATTCCGGACAATTTTTTTTTTACATAGGAAGAAAAGCTATTCTGTGGGCTCTGTGGTACAAAATATGTGTACATGAAAGAGAAGATGTACAACTAGAAGGAAAGGAATTTGTTGATTTAATTGCTCAATTTGTACAGACAGAAATACGGGCACACTGGCTAATGGTGAGATCCAAAATACAATTGTTCCACCTGAAAAAAAACATCATCAATTGTATTTAAGAATTCAATCAAGAATGGTTGGGGGGATATGAAGGAGAAAGCTTGGGAGAGGTGAAATGGCTTGGAAGGGAAGAAAGGGGGAATACCTGAAGAGGGACTACCATCTGTGCTTCAAGGACTGGTTTTCACTTCCATCAAGAGTCTCACTCAGATCTTCGGATTGTTTTCCTGACCCCTTCTCACTCTCAAACCTAGCCTTAGTAGACTTGCATTGGTATGTTTTGTAATATGGTTAAATCCCAAAAAAACAGGGATATCAGTCCCTGATAGTTCCTTTTGCTTATTAGGGAGCTAAGATTAGGCGAGAATGATGCTAGCTTTGGAAGAAGTATCTGGCGACCTAAGTCTAGGCTGAAGAGGCAGATCCTACTCTCTGAGTACTTTATCTAAAATTGTGGTTTTTATTAATATGTATGTGGGACGATGGACCCGATTTCCAGCAGGTGCAGCTCCCCACCAATAGAATGGAGCCAGCAGTCGGGCTACTAGTGGTGGATGCTCGTATCACCACCACTAGCAACTCAGGCCCTCAATTTGAAAAAGCAGTAATAGCAGGCCCGGTGTTGTCCCAGGCTGTCCAGACCCTCATGAAACGCTTCTGTAGGCTCTCAGACATGACCGTTAACTGGGGGCAAAAGACCGTGGGCTGGTGGCTGCACCACCAGGGGGAAAGGCCCCCTGAGAACCCGAAATTACTTGGCTTCCCCCAGACGATCCTCTTAGAATCCTTGGGGCTTCAGTTACAGCAAAAGGAAGACCCCACACTAACGATCAGTGGCTGGCAAGACCGGCACAGGCCAAACTAGCGAGTTGGAACGGCAAACACACATCAATTTTTGGGCGGGCCCTGGTCATCAATAATGTGGTATTGGC